CTTTCGATCAGCGGCTGAACTACTTCGGATCTCAATAGGATGTATAAAGTCTTCTCCTTCCGACGTGGAAAGCTCGCTGGTGCAAAGAGAGAGGGAGTTATAAAGGGTTTCCCGTGTGGTTTCCCACATTTAGGTAGAGACCCCCCCCCCCCCCCCCCCCCCCCCGGATCAACACAGCCCCCCCAGTGTATTTCACCCCACCCCGTCAGTAGTCCTGCCGCTGATAGCCGCCGGTGCCGTCAAAGGCCTCATCGCCGTTGGCCTGCCCCCCCCCGGCCCCCCCTCCTCCCACGGGGCTCTCCGGGTCGTCCCCACCGAAGGAGGTGTAAGGGGCCCCGGCTACGTCCTGGCTGGGGTCCGTGTACTCCTGGGAGAAGAGGGCCGAGTCGGCCCCCAGCTTGTACCTCTGGAAGCCCAGGAAGGACTGGCCCGCCTGGGGGGGGAGGAGCAGGAGGAGGAAAGGATGGAGGATGCAGAGGTGGAGGAGGTGTTAGAGCAGGGAGGAAGGACAAAGAGAGGAAAATTGGATTAGTCGGGTTTGGAGCGTATTAGTTTGCGTTAGAAAAAGGGCGACGTCATTATTCTGATGAGAAACGTCAGCGCGGGATGAAGGAATTCAAAAGAGTCCGTGTGCTTTATTGACGCTGGGAAACAGGAAAAAGCTCATTTTCTGTCCATAGAACAATAGAAGGCGGCGTGCGTTGGCAGAGGAGACCTTCTCAAACCGTTTGGGCTTCTTCACTTCTAGTTTGATGATAAAACAAAACCGTGAAAGATGTTCTAAGAATGTATTACAACAACATTCATGAACGTGAACTAAGATACACATCCAAGAGTATTAGCACCTGTAAGTAGGAGGAGACATTATTTATCCTCATGATCCTTCATTCATATTCAGACATCTAACCTTCACAACTCAAAGAAACATTCAATTCTTAACGAATATATTTCACTGAATTACAGGCATTAAATATATTGTGGATTCAGGCCGATTTCTGTGAATGTTTCGAGTAGAAGGACATGAGGATCAACAATAAAGACATGTTTTTACTAAATGGTGACATTAATTCTGCAGGCCACTGTAAGAAAAAATCAAACGTCCACTTAAAGTCACTGTTAGAAAACAGCAGACGGACCTTCTACGGCCAGAGGGCCGCTGTGTGGCGTTCAGGGACGTGTTGGTGGAGATGAAAACAGTCTGAATAAGTGTGTCTCTGTAGTGAAGAATCAGCAACTGGGAATCTTTTTGTCCTCAAACGAGAAGCAGCAAGAATTCAAACAAAGTCACTGAACAAAACCACTGTGTTCCACAAGCACAGTGGAGATGAAGATCGGCTCTTTAACGGGGCTCAGACGGGGGGCGGTTGGGGCTCGGGGGGGAACAGCTTGGTGTACTCCTCTTCGAATGACACGTTCTTTAACTTCTCCATGGAGAGGAGGGTCTGAGTGCCCTGCAGGAACGGCAGCAGGTGAGTTAACGGGTACCAGACAGAAACACGATGGTTCTCTAACAGGCAAAGAACCAACACCCAAGAAAAAAACCCTTCTATCTGCCGGATGTCTGTATCTCAGTAAAGCGCTGAACATCTGCAGGCGTTTGTCTTTCAAGAAACGTTTGAGAAAATGCTTCAGGTTTTCAAAGAACCAGAAAAGGAATTCAAGAACCTTCAATTAGCAGTTATTTAAGGAAGAACCTTTCAGACCAGGGTTCTTTAAAGAACCCACAAAGGTGCCTGATAGGATAGTTATTTTTGAAGGTTCTTTGAGGTACCTTTGTGGGTCCTTCAAAGACAGAGATCTGTGGTCTGAAAGGTTCTTTCTGGAACCAGAAAGTGTTACGCCATGGCATCCCTCTGAAGAACCATTCTCAGCTCCAGGTGATGCCCCTTGGGGGCTCCTGACTAGGAGGGACCTTACCCAGGTGAAGATGGAGAAGAAGGAGAAGGTGATGGCTGCCCGGGCAGCGTCCCCTCCCTCCTTCAGGGGGTTGTCCTCCAGCTTGCTCACCTGCCACTGATTGGCCAGGAGACAGAAACCCACGAACCACATGAAGGACCAGAACGCTGTGCAGAGAGAGAGAGAGAGAGAAGGTGCAACGGGATGTAACGAAGGAACTCTGCGAGAACCCTTGGACAGGGTTGGTCACCTATACCTGTGTGCAAGGCCTTCAAATGAGAAGATCACAAATGCTGCCATGTCTTCAGCTACATGTGAGACGAAATAAGGTGGAAAGAAGGTGGGAAGAAGGTGGCTCGGTCGGGCGGCGACTTCCAGATTGGAAAAGGTGAAGTAAAAGCTGATGTGTCTTAAAACTGGCACTCGTTCTAATATTTATCAGTGTGGAGACTCTGGATGTCACAAAGTAGCCCCAAAAGCACCCCCTGCTTTATGGTCTATTAGAGACCTGTCAATCAGAGTCTGACTCTATATCTCTAAATGAACATCATGCTGTATTGAAGAAGACTTGAAACTAGAGGCTGAGACCATAAACTCATGTTTACAATATTTACTGAGGGGATAAATCAAGAGAGAAGTAGAGTCATTTCCTCAAAGACGTCTATGGAAGCAGAGGAGTCGCCCCCTGCTGGTCACTACAGAGAAGTAGAGTCATTTCCTCATAGACGTCTATGGGAGCAGAGGAGTCGCCCCCTGCTGGTCACTACACAGAATGCAGCTTTAACTCATGAGGTTTGGGCTTCAAAGGCTGCTGAGCGTTTTGAACTTAATGAGCTTGAAATGATCTTTTTCATGGTATTTGTCTGAAGTTTACGTGGTTATTATATCAGAGCCCAGTGTGGATTTGAACTGACATGAAACGCAAAGAAAAATATCTAAATATTAATTTACCTGACAAGCCGACATCCGCCAGCACGGCCTTCTTGCGGTCTTTGACGCTGCTGATTTGGGGGAAGTAGACGTCCAGAGCCAAGAAGGCCACGCAGCAGAGGAAGGCCATGGAGCCCATGAAGACGCCGTAGTTACAGGCGTTCTGGTTGCGGTTGAAGATGCAGAACTCCTCCGGCTCCTCTGGGCGGTTGATGTAGCCCTCGTTGGCGATGCAGCCGAAGATCACGATGGAGAAGAGCTGCAGAGGAGGCGAGAGGAGAACATCAAGTCGCTGTCGGAAACCTGTGGAGAGACCTTTGATAAACAGGACGCAGTGTGGATGGATCTCGGACCCAGGTCCGGCTTCACTGCTTTTTTCTGCCCTGGAGCTGAAGCTCAATTAAAAAAAAAAGTTAACAATCATTATTTTATGGTGTGTAGCATTTTTTTTTAAATCCCTATTTACAGATTAAAACCTCTTTTAAGTCTCGTGGCTTTTTCACGCAAAACCCTTTTCAAACGTTTGATATCAAAAAGTACGACGGGCATAAAAACTCTCTGTCCTCTTTCCTCCTCGACCTGCAGGAGACAGGAAGCAGACGGGGACACCTCTGTGTGTGTGTGTGTGTGTGTGTGTGTGAGGGTAGTTTACCCAGCTGTGTGTGTCCATGTGCACGCCCACAAAGGGAAGAGCGGCTGTCAATCAGGACTATTGTAATAACAGGCAGAGGGACGGCGTTATGACGGCGAGGACAGAACGGCAGCAGGAGGTCAGAGAGGCAGGAGGCGGTTTGAGAGGCGGACGTCGTCATGGTGACGTCTCATTAACTTATGGGGGTTGGAAGCTGTGAATGGTTTGAAAGTACATCTCTGATCTGACAGCTGATGAACCGTCACCGACCCGCCGGCCGCCAGCTTCAGATCTTCTGCTCCACAGTTCTGGAGCAAAGTCCCAGAAAGCTGCAGGTCTGCTGCGTCCCTCAGCTCCTTTAACTCCAGATTAAAGACTTTTCTGGTTGCTTTAATTCACCATTTCTGTGTTTTGGAATTTCGGTGCTTTACTATTCATCCTATTTTTAGTTTCTTAACTTTACAACTAAAGTTGGCGTTTATTACTGTGCAAAACAACGTAATGTTCTGGTGCCAGTGAGGTGAGGGTAGGATTATATTATATAACATCACATCACTTCTGTCGCGTGAACATATTCTGTAATATAATATGTGTAATAAAAGTTACAGTTAAAATGAGCTCGTATTTGCAAATAAAAATAAAATAGCTGTGGAAGCAACTTACCAAATGTGTTTGCTGCTGTGGTTTTATTGACTGATTGACTCTGTTTTAAGATTAAAATATTACTCTTTCAGGGCTTAAACGATTTGAATTTAACTTGAATAAAGTTAAAATGTTCTTCACTCAGCCTGAACTTCTTCATGCTGTGGAGGTGGAGCAAATCTTCCTAAATGAAATAAGAACACGATTACTTTTTAGGTTTAGAGACTATTACTGTGCAGCAGGTTGCCAGGCAACGGGGCGGTGGAGGTAAAGACGGTGACGCAAACAGGACGTCCGCGCAGGACGGACGTCTCCTCTCAGAGACCGCTGGGGTCAGACGATGCGGCCCACGTGGACCAGACATCCAGGTCCTCCTGAGGATGCAGCCGACCGAATGAGACACGGCTTCAGACTGCACACGCGTCCCAGCAGGACGGGACAGACTGCACACGCGTCCCAGCAGGACGGGACAGACTGCACACGCGTCCCAGCAGGACGGGACCCGAATGAGACACGGCTTCAGACTGCACACGCGTCCCAGCAGGACGGGACCCGGGACCCGAATGAGACACGGGTTCAGACTGCACACGCGTCCCAGCAGGACGGGACCCGGGACCCTCAGCATATCATGGCTGTTAGAGGAATCAGAGCCGGCGTGCAAACTCTGGTCCCTCTCTTTCT